ATAAGCTAGCTGTGACACTATATAATAGCCATGTGATTTTGACATTTCTCAGACATATGGCTTCTGTGATTTTAGAAGTCAGGATCTCTTCATTTATGGACTTTTAACTTAAGCTCAGATGTGTTTGAATGTTTATTCATGTCATAATGCTAGTCAACTTTTTAAAAATTATATATATCATAAAACTGAAATATAAACTATCTAAGACTGATATTATACTTTAATTTTATATTTTTTGTATAGTTATTTTTTGTTTTGGAAAAACATGCTTCTTTAAAATAACATGTGTAAATGAATTACAATGCTTGTAGTAGTCATCAACACAGCAGATATAATAATTATTTGTGAAACCTCACATTCAGTATATATTCTAATGAGTTTATTAAAAAGTTCTGTGTATTCTATCATGGATTGTGTGGAATTTTATGATTATGAAGTAAAATGTGACTGCCATTATATGAACTTCAAAGCCTATAATAAGTGTCATTTACAGGTAAGTATGGAAAGAGGGGGTCAATGGCCAGCCCGTAAAGGGAGGTAAACCTACCTCTTTAAGAAATATATTGAAAAAAATACACTGTACTATCAAAATATTATATAACATGATATATCATTTGAATTACAAATATTTTTTCCAATAGAGAAAAAAAGTTCTCTTTTCATTATCCAACAATATTGCATGAATCTGAGGTTAGAAATTTTGATTTGTGATATTAAAATGTTTTTTTTCCTTTCTAATTCACTCACATAATCTTTCCTTTTTTCGATTTTCATTGGAAAAGATTATTTATTTGAACTGGTGATTATTTTCTTCTTGTAAACAACAATTAAGAAATATTTATATTATGACTGTATTGTTAAAATTTTTGATGCTGTTTTATTTTTCATTAAACATTCATTCTCAAGTTTATAAATCCAATTTTTAATCTGTACTAATATACATGCATGTGTAACATTTTACTTCTAATAATACAAAAGATTTGTTATAATTCTTGAAATCAAATAAAATTCTAAATACAGCCTTAAAACTGCAATTCTTTTTATTGATGTGAGCATAAAAAATGAATATAATTATATACAATCATTTTATGAAACTTGTGACAGTCTTGAGAAATGAGAACATATTTTAACAATAGCGTGTTAAAAGCCTCTGTACTTAAATGCAATTAAGTAAACGCGAGATGGTTCATTTGGAATTGTAGCATTCCCCTCTTATATGGATTTAATTTACTAAAGAGGCCACAAATCTAATCTATAATTTACCCTTGGTAAACATATTCAAGGGGGAAAAGTGCCTTATTTGTTTCATCCTCTGAAGAATAATTGGGCCGAGGTGGTTCAGGTGAGCGTTGTGGCCCATGGGCCTCTTGTCTTAAATTAGTGTTAAGCTCAGTTATAAACATACCATTCAAGATGGTGTTATCAAACTCCACATGTTGATACAAACTTGCACGGATGATGCATCTAGGAATGGACACTATCATACTTGCTTCGGATGCTGGATCTGACCTACATTTTCCGGATGAGTGACAAAGTTAAAGTTTTTGGAGCAGGTCTATTCCTAAGGAACTTTAAGCCCTACTTGGAACAAACTTGCATGAATGATGCATCTAGGGATGGACACAACCAGACTTGCTTCGGATGCTGGATTTGACATATATTTTCATTCCCAAGTAACTGTAAGCCCTACCTGAACCAAACTTGCATGGATGATGCATCTAGAGATGGACACTTCCAGACTTGCTTCGGATTCTGAATCTGACCTACAAATTTCATTCCCAAGTAACTATAAGCCCTGCCTGAACCAAACTTGCATGGATGATGCATCTAGAGATGGACACTAGCAGACTGCTTCAGATGCTGGATCTGACCTACATTTTCATTCCCAAGTATCTTTAAGCCCTGCCTGAACCAAACTTGCATGGATGATGCAGCTAGGGATGGACACTACCAGACTTGCTTCGGATGCTGGATCTGACCTATATATTCATTCCCAAGTAACTATTAGCTCTACCTGAACCAAACTTGCATGGATGATGCAGCTTTGGATGGACACTACCAGACTTGCTTCGGATGCTGGATCTGACCTACATTTTTATTCCCAAGTAACTATACGCCCTGCCTGAACCAAACTGATCAAATTTTATACACATACAAATTTTCATGTTGCTTTACTAATATATCCTCGGCGGAGCATTCATGTCCTATGGACATATTTCTAGTTTATTTATACGTTGGAAACTTTCAGTCTTTTTGATCATCAGACATTGTCTGTTGATACATCTTGGGTCCTCTTCAATTAAAAAGTAGGTCAACTTGACATACCTGTGAAATGTCTGCGCTATATATATATATATATATATATATATATATATATATATATAGAAAGCACAAAGAAATTCACTTTTACATGGATACCCACTTCCGCCCCAGCCCGGGGTTGAACTCTTGACCTTCGGAATCTGTCTCCTAGCAGTGCAGGAACAGCGCGCTAGACCGCTCGGCTATCTAGGCAAGTTAAAAACTTGCTTTCGATGCCGATGGAATTCTCGCGGCGCTGTCCTACACTACACGGTCATTGAGAATAGAAGTGAGATACAGTTATTTAAACATTAGTTTTAACAGAGGATTGTTACCAATACATGTTGTAATGAAATTAATTATTATTTATAAAGCACAATTTACAACAACTCTTAAACATCGAAAGCAAGTTTTTAACTTGCCTAGATAGCCGAGCGGTCTAGCGCGCTGTTCCTGCACTGCTAGGAGACAGATTCCGAAGGTCGAGAGTTCAACCCCGGGCTGGGGCGGAAGTGGGTATCCATGTAAAAGTGAATTTCTTTGTGCTTTCTATATTAATATTTCTTCACTTAGGGCAGTTATGTTAGTTTAAGAGTTGTTGTAAATTGTGCTTTATATATATATATATATATATATATATATATATATATATATATATATATATATATATATATATATATATATATATCCCTATAGGATATATAGGAACTTACTGGCTTACAGTCAGCAAACTTTGTATGTTGATACTTTTTGGGTTTTTAGCTCACCTGATCACCCGTCGTCCGTCCATCCGTCCGTCCGTCTGTAAACTTTTCACATTTTCAACTTCTTCTCAAGAACCACTAAGCCAATTTTAACAATCTTGGTACAAAGCATCCTTGGGTGAAGGTGAATTTCTATTGTTAAAATGAAGGGCCAAGACCCCTTCCAAGGGGAGATAATCACGAAAATACAAAAATAGGGTGGGGTCATTAAAAAAGCTTCTTCTCAAGAAACACTGGGCCAGAAAAGCTGAAACTTATATGAAAGCATCCTGGGGTACTGTAGATTCTAAATTGTTCAAGTCATGACCCCCGGGGGTAGGGCGGGGCCAAAAAAGGGAATCCAAGTTTTACATAGAAATATATATTGGAAAAAACTTTAAAAATCTTCTTCTCAAGAACCACTGGGCTAGAAAAGCTGAAACTTACATTATGTGGAAGCATCCTGGGGTAGAGTAGTTTCTAAATTGATCAAATCATGACCCCCGGGGTAGGGCGGAGCCACAATAGGGAATCTAAGTTTTACATAGAAATATAAAGGGGAAGTTTTTGAAAATCTTCTTCTCAAGAACCATTGGGGCAGAAAATCTGAAACTTATGTGAAAGCATCTTTGGGTAGTGTAGATTATAAATTGTCCATATCATGACCCCTGGTGGAAGGGCGTGGTCACAATTTGTATTACAAGGGGGGGATCTGTTGAAGAACAGCATGGCCAAAGTTTCTCATGTGAGCGATGTGGCCCATGGGCCTCTTGTTAAAGAACGTATACTAAAAAGGATGTCACTGTCACCATCTTTTGAAATTTTATAGCTACATTTACATGTCTCAGGTACTAACTGGCTTAGAGTCATCTACTTCTTTTAGCTCACCTGAGCCGAATGTTCAAGTGAGCTTTTCTGATCACATCTTGTCCGTTGTCCGTCTGTCTGTCCGTCTAGCTGTCCTCTGTCTAGCTGTCTGTCCGTCCGTCTGTCTGTTAACTTTTCACATTTTCAACTATTTCTCAAGAACCACTAGGCCAATTTTAACCAAACATCGTACAAAGCATCCTTGGATGAAGGGAAATTTAAATTGTTAAAATCAAGGACCAAGTCCCCTTCCAAGAGGAGATACTCAAGAAAAAACTAAAATAGGGTACGGTCATTAAAATATCTTTTTCTCAAGAACCACTAGGCCAGAAAAGCTGAAACTTATATGGAAGTATCCTGGGGTAGAGTAGATTCTAAATTGTTCAAATCATGACCCCCGGGGGTTGGGCGGGGCCACAATAGGGAATCCAAGTTTTACATAGAAATATATTGGAAAAAACTTTAAAATCTTCTTATCAAGAACCACTGAGCCAGAAAAACTGAAACTTATGTGGAAGCATCTTGAAATAGTGTAGATTCTAAATCATTCAAATAATTACCCTCGGGGATAGGGCGGGGCCACAATAGGGAATTCAAGTTTAACATAGAAATAAATAGGGGGAAAAAAATTTAAAGATATTATTCTCAAGAAGCATTGGGCCAGAAAAGCTGAAACTTATGTGGAAGTATCTTGGGGTAGTGTAGATTCTAAATTGTCCAAATCATGACCCCAGTGGGTAGGTAGGGCAGGGTCCCAATTGGTATTACAAAGGGGGGAAATCTGTTATAGAACAGCATGGCCAAAGTTTCTCAGTGCGCGATGTGGCCCATGGGCCTCTTGTTTAATTCCATAAATGTAATTTTTGCATTTGAATTAACTACTTTTATATTTAAATTTGAATGAACAACAACAACCAGTCCCAATCAACCCCATATCCACCCCTTAAATTGTGTAAATAAAAATTTTTAAAAATGAATAAGTTATGAAACCCTTTTGCCAGAGGATGATCTGCTTGGTGGAGTACTTGTTAGAATTAAATGTTTTAAATTGTATGTATTAAATGATCAAACTTTAATCATATTTTTCAGTGTATGAGAATTCAGAAGGCTTTGCTCTCGAACAAAAACCCGATAATAATGTTTACTCAAACGCCACAGATGAAGGTCATTCAAAGGAAAAAGAAAAGCCAAGAGGTTACAAAGTAAGTTTAGATAAGATCAGAGTATTTTGTAGCAAAGTTTTCTATTTATTAGGCCACAACAATAAAAAATTTTGTTCGTCAGACTCTCACGCTAGTATTTAAACAAAGCCATACAAATAATATTAATTTAAATTTCCCTGCACCATAGGAATTCTGTGCTGTTTCTTGTTTCATTTCAGCTCTATTTTTCGTTCTCTTAATCTACTTTCTCTGCAAATCAGAAAAAATAATTCTCCCCTTTAATTTCTTTACGCCCCGCCTCAAAATTTTGCCTACAATAAAGAAATACTATTATTATTTGACCGCTATCCCGCTCGTACTTTTTCATTCAATGTCCGACGAACAAGAAATTAAATTGATGTGGCCTTAAAATTGCTAAATCATACTCGGTTGAATTGCTGAATAATACTCATTCTCAGTTTCGTACTCAGTATATACGATATGGCCTGTCAGCACACGAAGAAAATCCGGAAAAATTTACATTTATTACAGTTTCATCTACATTTATGGTTTTAGTAATATGTAAAACATCACACTCAAATTTAAATCAGAAGAAAACAGAATAAAAATCTTGGTAACATGTCAAATTTTCATATAAATAGCATCAGCTGGGACCGAGGATTGGTGTCGCAATTTTCAATGTATTGAGTTTGCTCGAATTACATTGTTAAATGCGTAAGCGGAGCCCGGTGATGTAATTATTTGTTTTGAATGTTTTTTTTTTCTACATTAGAGACGGGAAAAATAGTACAGAAGTGACATTACAAATTGAATCTTTATTTAAAGAAATTGTTTTTAAATTGTATAAGTTTCAAGGTTACATTTCACCTCCATACCAAAACTAGTCACGCACAGAAGTAGAGTAATGTTACTTAAAAGGAGACAGTGGGGAACGTTATGAGCCACGATCGACGTTAAACATTGTGCATTCTCTGTTGCCTACAATGAACAGCGATCTTTCGAATGAATTTCAACTAAAATTTGAATATAACAAATATATCGATAGTACCGAATTTTAATGAGTCTCTCGGTCAATAGTGTTTTTCACTGTAAAAATAATAATTGTATGCTTAAGAGTTGCCTGATAAGCACGTGAGGAAGAACTTGAAAAATTACCACGACGTTGTAAAAGACGTAAATTGCGCTTGCTTTCGTGCGCGGATGTACACTTTTATGCTTTCTCTATTTTAACAACATTTTCTTATTAAATGTGATATCATCATGAAACTTAAAATGCATGATCATAAAATATTGCGTTTTACTATAACAAGAAAAAAAATATATTGAGAAAAGAGAAACTAAACTTTATTCCCTGTCTACGACTTTTTGGATCAATCTTTGTATGTTTCATTTTTGAAGTGAAGTTAGGTTGACAAGTATAGAAAAACGTAATTAGAAATAAGCATCAACAACATTTCGAAAGATTTTTTTTAATTTGGAAATGTTTTATTATACTCTGAGGGAAAATAAATCCAGAATTATGGCTTGAAGGCCTAATTTTTTTTCCTACTGTAAGGATTACCTGAATAGGTTGAATGGTTATAGCAGTACTGGTGTTTTTAATGGTTTTTTTCGCAAATCTATAAGTCATGTTCATCTTAAATGAAAATACATTGTAAGGGAAATCGAATTGTTCATGATGAAAGCCATTATTGGTACATGAAAAAATATTGATTGTGACACATCTCCCCGACTCAAGAAAGTTGAACTGACTTTTGAAAAAAGCCACAGTCAGTATTATTTTAATTCACTAAACATACATACTACTTCTAGTATACACTACAGCCACAGGAGTTCGCGTACCTATCGATTTTACTGAAATTTTCATAAAATACGTAATACCTATAATAATTATTTCTATAGGTATTCCGTTGTTTTTTTTTTAGGTTTACTGAAAAATTCGGTAAAATTGATAAATACGTGAATTCCTGTGATACAACACTACATTTCCAGAAGCTCCGATGTTTTCAGAACTTTTGATCAAAATGAAACTACACTTAAAGAGCTGAACAGTACATACACTTGGCATACGTTTTGTACTTTGACTTTCACGAGATTGGTTGATACATTGTTTCAAGTGGATTTCCTTTTTGTTCAAATATTTGCAGTATTCTTGAACTGCCAACATTTGTGCACAGAACTTCTTTTCATTTGTTTAGATTGAGTAATGTACATGTATCTAATACATATTAGAAATTTATTGCTTGCGCAATACCAATTCTCAAACTGGATCAAAAACGTTCAGAATTGTCACTTATCGACATCACTTGAACCGGACACTAAGCTAAAAGGGCATTGGAGTGCACTAGTAACTCGATCAACTATGTTTTGAGGCCTGTCTTGACAAAGAGTGAAATTATATCCTCACAAGAATTAGAAATTATTTGGTCGGGGGGGGGGGATAAAAGAGAACAGACTGATCGGGCAAATCAATTTGATTAATGTACTGTGAATTATTGGTCAAAATTAAATTGATATTGATTTTGGTAACTTTCGATTGAAGATGCCTTGGAATGTTACACAGCAATACCGGAAAACATTCAAATTTTATCGTTCATCCTTTATTTCTATTCCCTCCCAGTATATTATTACATGCAAGTACTTCAAGAAGGACTTTTAAGGGAAACCCCATCCACCCGCCACCTATACATCCCCAAAATCTGTTTGACTAGTAACCTCTTTTATACATCTGTTGTGAATATATTTATTTTTTAAATATGTCTGCAGGGAAAAAAAAACATTGATAAAGGTACTCAAAAACCTTTAAACAGATGTATAAGAAACTGAACGTGTGTTTTAGGGAACTCCTAGACATGCATTTTAAATAAAATATGACTCGGTAATACTATTTTAATTGTAGAATCAAGATGGTTTGTTATACGTTGAAGTGAAGTTTGATGCCAAGTCAGAAAATGGAAAACCAATCATTCATGGAGAGGAGGAAAAGACCGATTATGCCACCGTAGAATTCCCTTATCCATCCACCTCACATGCTGCAGCAAGCAGTGATAAAGAAACAAAATGACTTAAATGATGATTCAACAAATTAATAAATTTAAAAAAGAATGCCAAACATAAAACTCCTATAAAAATGTTTCCAACATATTTTTATACTGATAACACAACGAAAAGGAATCTTAAAGTTTTTATTTTTATATATTGATAATGTTTTTCTTTCTTTCGATTTAATTATACATGTATATTCGTTGTAAGCTTAGGTGGCTACATGATCATGTTTCTGATCAGAAGTTTTCCAACGTCTATCTGTTTGACTTTTTATTGATCTTCCATCAAACTTGAAACATTTTCAATTTCTTTTCCAGAACTTAAAACAATTCATTCAAACATGCAGAAAATTCAAAGCTGTTTATATAATCGGTTAAAACCTTTTCTATGGTGATAATAAGAAAATTGTAAAATGTGAAGATATTCTTTATGGCAATATGAGCTACAAATTTGAAGTCGGAATATATTGTTGCAAAATTGTAATAAACTACATGTATTTCATTGACAGAAAAAAAAACATATTGGTACTTGTTCATATTTGTGATGAAAGACCCATATTTAAGCTTTCATTGAAGCAATATTACATTATTGCCATCCTGTACAATATATATAATTTTTTATTATTATTTTTATACTAAACATTAAACTCTTCTGAAATCTTACTTCTAAAAAACTGTTATTGTCCAATTAATCATAAAGGCTTAAGTTACAAACGGCTGTATCAGAATATCAGAATACTAGTATTCTATATTGTAACAGCAAAATAAATTATTGAAATGTAGCGCATATTGCTTTCAGTGTATTATTGTTTTTAAGAACCACTTGACCATAGAAGATGAAGCTAGAGTGAAATTTTTTTTTTAAGTGTAAATTAAAATTTGTTGCAATTAAAATTGTACAGTAGATTCTGAGATGTAAAGAAGAAAGCAATAGCTACTCATGATCAGAGTTATGCAAGTATGTATAAGTATGTATACAAATAAAATTCTTTGTTATAAAATAGGTCATGAATTTTTCAAATTCAAAGGAAACATCCTTTTTAAGAGAAGAAAGTTCAAATATTAACTCGAGTATACAAGAAAAGAAATTAGACAGAAACCAGGAAAATTGAGTATGCAAATTTGTTTTGAATCAAGAAATATATATTTTATTTCAGTTTAAAAGACCAGAAGACTATTTTGTTAGTGTGAAGGTAAATAAGGGAACTCTTCAAGTAAAATTTTTTCACTGTAATAAATGCGAAAGTGTTCTTGCCACGTCTTCAGTTGTGTTACTAAGGTGAGCGTTGACCAATTGTTTGTGTTGAAATGAAATGTTATATTACTCCCAGTTATCTCATTTTTTTTATTTCTTTAATTCATATGTGATTTGAACGTATTGTATTCAGTTTGTTATATAATTATGATATTCTTTTTTTAAGTTTGTTTATCGTAGTGTTTCTAATTGCTAAAGATTTAAGATTTTTCATCCCATTTTAACTTTCTTCTATAATCAGATACAAAAAGAGCAAATGTAATGGATAGATTCTTTGCCTGTCCATTAACAATTACAAACGTATACTCTTTAACAATTTTAGTCTAATTTCAATACATCTTTGTATGCAAGTACACGCAGAAGTACAGTCAGAAAGAAATACTAGCATGCAAAGTTTGTGCTATACTAATCAATTTTGGAGTTAACTCTTCCCTGCTTTAAAAATAAGTTTCAGTGAAATTTTTCTCAACGTATATATTTTCTATCAAACTACGTATTTGCATGAATTGTGGTCATGAAAATTAAAAATACACATTTCTTTGATTATCTTTCAAAACACTTCCTCAATTTTAATTAAAACTTTTATACAAAGAAAACATGTAGGTTAAATTCTCTGTAACGATTATTGAATTCATCAAAGAAAAATTAAACAAGATTGAGGATGGTTAATTACAGTATATGTACAATTTGAAGTATCACAAATCTTTATTGATTCCTGTTGATGTGTTTTTATCGATATTTTTCAACATATAGCGAAAAGAAAACGCGATCGTTTTTCAATTAGCTCTAGTTTAGTCTTTGTTTTCCCATTAATTGCTGATATCCATTTTTTGTGATTTAAACAATCAAAAATATGTTGAATGTAATAACTGTTGTTTTTTTCACATCCAGTTTTTGATTGCATAAATATGATTAATCAAATTCAGTATGCTTCATATACTAGTAGTCAAGTTATTGAATGAAATTTGTATAATGACCGCTTTTCATTTTTATTAAATTTGAATATTTTACTATTATTTTTTTCTGATTTTTTTTTTTTTTGAATACACACTGTATACAAAGTGCTAATCGAAAATCTACTTGATCTGGATCACTAGCTATTTTTGTTTGGATCATTCGAAGTTTCTGTCTGCACATTTAGACAAAAAATATCTTTTATATACGTTTTCTTACTAATAATACAACTACTACAACCAATATGAGTCTTCTTCTTGGTATATTTAAAGATTATCCTCTTTTTGTGTTATCTACCCCTCCTTAAACATCGGTAGCACGCGTTTTTCACGCATCTAATAGTCATTTTTCGACTAATCATCCACTTGAATGGACTGTTGACATTATTTCAATAAAACATTTATTGTTATGTTTAATATGAATCTTTATCAAACGTAAGCTATCAAATTTGACCACAAGGTCTTCTTTATATCTTGACAATTACATCAAATATGCACCTACCCAACTTTTCCAGAGCTATTCTAGTTTGCGTAGAAAATCTCCAGAAAGCTATCTTTGTTGTCATGACAGCTATACTTTTTTCGGGTATACATATAGCATATAGGCCTAATGTAATTAGTAAAATAATTTATTAACGTTACATTGTGTTTACAACAGTATTGTACAATATTTTCTTCCCCAGACTCCTCTTACATTTCAACATTGGCCCAGTCCATGAGAGGTCCAAGTGTCATATGCTTTTTATGCTTAGTCAGTGAGTGTGATACATATGTATTTATATAAATTATAGAAAAAAGTAGTGTGGTACTTAGGTACGAAGGAGAGTACACACATACACCTGACGTTACTTATGAGTTATACCCCTACCTTATAACATTCTGAACCTTTCGTGAAAGTATCTTTTTATTTTATTATGGAAACAACTCTTATGACGTTTTTATTTCGTTAATTAATATGTTTAATTCCATTTTTTCCTTCCGGAATGAAGGATGGATCCAGCATAAATTTCTTCTTGAAAGGGGATGGGGTTACATTGATGTCCATAACACTAAAAGATCCCAACACAAAAACTCTACTTAAATTTGTGGTTGGGGAGGGGTCGGCGTAATTGACGGACAATGAAGCTACATTCTTTCATATACATTGTATATTCTCATTTTTCCTATCAACTTTTGACAGTCAATCATCAACAAAAACATACCAAATTAAAAATTTTAATGTCGCTTACCAATTTACTTTAGTAAAATTTTTAACAAATTTAAAGATCGATTTCAACTCTTAGACTTTACATAATTAAACACATGGTTTTGTAAATATTTAATGGTATATATATATATATATATATATATATATATATATATATATATATATATATATATATATATATATATATATATATATATATATATATATATATATATATATATATATATATATATATATATATATATATATATATATATATATATATATATATATATATATATATATATATATATATATATATATATATATATATATATATATATATATATATATATATATATATATATATATATATATATATATATATATATATATATATATATATATATATATATATATATATATATATATATATATCCAATGAAAAAAAGTCAGAAATCACAAATCTCGAAAATCATTTTTACTGTTAGCGCTTTCTGCCTAATGGCTCTTCAGACAGTTAAAAGTTAAATATAAAATTGCTTAGTAACGTTCATAAGCACGACGTCAAGTATTGTCCATTGTGACGTCATAATAACGTTAAAAGGTAGCATTATAATTCGCACCGTTACAATCACTGAGATAAATCAAAAAACATGTAGAAAATAACTTAAGTTAAAACTGAAGTAATTATTTTCTGTTAAGTTTTGGGTTAAATAGTTTAATGAAGTAGTCCTCCTTTGCTACTCTGGATATTTCACAGTCATTGTGCATTTTATAAAATGGAAATAATTTAAATTTCTCTTTCCCACAGGTAGCAAAGTGCTCACTGCACGGCGTATTCCTTACGCTAGGATCCCGAATTTGTTGTTTATGGACTCGCACTCGTGCGTTCAGTTTGCCGGTTTGTCCTATGTAGTTTTCATCACAGGTTGGACAGGTTATGCAGTAAATAACATTTTCTGATAAAGGTCATGTTGGCGTTTGGTGTTAATTTTTTACCACATTTTAAAGTTTTTTCGCTTCCCTCCTCCAGATATTCACATGTTCCACAACGTGGGTCACGGCACTTTCTGACGACTTTGGCATTGTTTGTTGCAAATCTTGCTCTGGTTAGGATTTTCTTCAGATTGGGTGCCTGTCTTCCGCTATTGATAACTTGATACTCCTTGATAATGTCTTTTAGATTCTGAGATTGTTCTAAAATGGGAAAAAATCTCCTGGCTGATCTTAAAATATTGTGGTTGCTTGGATTGTGCGTCACAACAAAAGGGATGTCGTTTTTTTTCACTATCATCCTTGCGGCGAGTGTTTCTTAGTACAGAAGTCGGAATGTTTTTTGATTTTTCAATTCCGGCATTGATAAGATTCTCCGGATAATGTTGTTTTTGGAGATATGATTTAAATTCTTCTAACCTTTTCGAGCGTAAAGTTGTATCGGTTACTATTGTGCATATGCGTCTTGCTATGTTGTATGGAATATTACGCTTAGTATGTGATGGGTGACATGAATAGAAATCCAAATATTGGTGCAAATCTGTTTCTTTGCAGTACAGGTCTGTAATAATTTTGGTATCATCCTTAATTAGAAGGAGGTCCAAAAATGGGAGTTGTCTGTCACTCATCTCCATAGTGAACTGAATTGATTCCTGTAATTGATTTATTACCGTATGGAATTTTTCTAAATCGACTTCAGTTTTATTCCAAAAAATAAAAATATCATCAAGGTACCTTTTCCAGTTTTGGCGAATGTATTGTACAAAAGTTTCGTCAAATATTTCCGGAAGTTTATTATATAGCTTTTCTTCCAAGTAACCCATAACTAGAGTGGCATAAGTTGGGGCCACTTTGGTACCCATAGCTGTGCCCTTGATTTGGAGGTAAAATTGCTCATCAAAA